AGAAGAATGTTGCTTTGCTTCAGATCACGATGAACAATTGGTTTTCTACAATGGTGGAGGTAATCCAATGTGAATTCGTGGGATTGATTAGTAGGCCACTCCCACGTGTGTACTGCAAGCAGCACAAAGAAACCGCGTGAAAAGGATTCACGTGAAGTGATAAGGGACCACGGGTGAAGAGATAGAAGCAAAGCTAAGATCCAGCGGACAAATCCTGAGGCCCAAGTTCGCATTGGTTTTAAACCGCATCACTAGGCTATTTATACCCACGAGATTTTCTAGGGTTCTGTGCGAAAGAGGGTGTTTTGCTGCAGTCGGTTTTTCTCTTTGCTTTGGCGACGTGCAGGTGCAAAGCAGAGGCAGGGTACAAGAAAAACAGTGCGGCGGCTTCAGCAAAGAAAAGAAGTCTTAGGGCTTCGTGAAGAGAGTTTTGTGCAGTCTCTTGTGCTGATTTTGAGAGAGATAATTGTGTGAGGGATCTGAGAGTTTGTGTGAGGGTTTAGATTGTGAGATTGTAAACCCTAGTTGTATCTCTCCCTCTAATAGTAGATCTCTCCCCTCCTTGCCCCGTGGACGTAGGCAGTTTGCCGAACCACGTAAAATTTGTGTTCTTGCCGTGATTTGTAATAGCTTGTAGGTTCCCTCGACGCGCAGTCCTAGAGCTGACGAGAGGAAGAGCTGATATCTCACTTTGATGAGATATCTGGCTTTCGGTTCTTGTTTCGTTTGAGAAACTAGAATTCCGTTGTGATCTAATCTCTTGTTGTGCACCTTACGCACCGGAGGTGCTGCCGAAATTTTCGCTGCGCACAACATCCAAAGCATCAGCTACATCAATAGCTAATCTTCCCATAAGGTTCAGTTTTCTTGCTTTGAATTGCTCATTTGCTTTAGGATGCAACCAATCATCTAAACTGCCGCTCTCCATAAACTCAAAGACCACAGCTTTGAAGTCATTATCTTTGAAATCTACAACCGTACATATTGTAAGGATCTTGAAAAGATTCTGATGCAGAATGTTTTTTGCTGCTTCTCATTCTGCCATAAATCCCCTTGAAGCTCCTTGCATTTGAAGCTTTAATACCTTTATAGCAAAAACTTACGTACTTCCCCCCATTGAGTTGTCCTTTATACACCATACCTGAACTTCCACTCCCGATTATATTGCCCTCAGTGAATCAATTTGCTGCTCTTCCTAGTTCCCCATAAGGGACCTTTTCATTTTGATCATTTGTGGGTGATGAGTCCAGAGATTTCCTTCTTGAACCTTTTTGATGGCATCAAAGAACTAGGATGCATTTCCGTCTAGGATGGTTTTTCTAGATGGAATTCCGTCTAGAATAACGCATTCTCAACGGAAACTTATTAGACCAACATCTTAGACGGAATTCCGTCTAGGATAATCAATGTAGATGGAAATCTGACTATTCTAGACGGAAAATTCCGCTAGGATGCTACGTTTTTTACTAGTGAGTTATCCCACAGATTACTACCGTTCTATGCGAGTCATGTTTCTTGTTAAAGGGTTTGGAAGGGCAAGCTGGCAGATGCATTTCCAGGTTCCCTCCACAAAGCTTTATGTCTCCAAAAACTGAAACTGCACTTGAATTTTCAAACACCCCAAGTTGTGGCACTTCACCTTCAAGGTTATTGAAAGATGCACTTGAATTTTCAAACACCCCAAGTTGTGGCACTTCACCTTCAAGGTTATTGAAAGATAGATTCAAATAGTTTAGCAAATGAGTTGTGGCACTTCACCTTCAAGGTTATTGAAAGATAGATTCAAATAGTTTAGCAAATGAAAGTCTTGGAAAAAAATCTTGTATTTTTTCCTGACAGGTAATTTATTAAATTACGGAGCTTCTCGATGCCTATTAATGAGGCTAAAGAAGGAATACTTCCTTAACAGAGATTTCCACCAAGATAAAGCTCCTCTAGCACTTGACATTTAGCAAGAGTGGTAGGGATTGAGCTGGACAATTTGTTTATTCTGACATCAGATATGCTCAAGTTTCTTAAGCTCCCCAACTTCAGATGGTATTACCCCTGACAGTGAATTGTGTCCCAACCGTAAAGTTAAGAGAGTGTATGGATATGGAGAATATTTCTTTGGGTATGATGCCTGCAAATTTGTTATACTAGCTGGTATATTTCTGCTCAGTTCATTAGAATCTAGATAAAGTTTATTCAATTGAGTAAGGTTACCTATATCAGGTGGGATGCTGCCAGTGAGTCCGTTATATTACAGTAAAAACAGAGACAGAGAGGCAAGATTACCTATGCTAGATGAAATACTACCATTAAGACTGTTATTGTACAGATATAGTCCAGTTAGATAAGTAAGGTTTTCAATGGTATGTGCGATGCTGCCATATAATTTCTTTCCAGACAAAGAAAAGAAAAGAAAGAGTAGAAAGGCTCATTAATAACGATGGGATGCTGCCACTTAGAATGTTATTGTATAGGTGAAGTCTAGTTAGAGAAGTAATGTTACCTACCTATACTATGTGGTGGGATGCTACCACTGAGTTTGTTATAGTATAAGTGAGAGATGTTGTTAGGCTAGTTACAATGGGCTAGTTGAATGATGAATTAAATAGTTGAATGAGTGTAATGGGGGTGTTGAATGGGGTGTTGAAAATGAGGTGGATTAAATAGAGTTGAAAGAATTCAACATATTGAAATAGGAGGGAGTGGGACCCGCGCTGGACACGTGGCGGGCTCTGGAAGAGAGAGAAGATGAATTATTAGGTGGTGGGGTAGGGTGTTGAATTTTATTAAACAAAACCATTGTAGAGTGTAAAAGTTGAGTGGGTGTTGAATTATTAGGTGGAAGAGAGAGAAGATGATGTGGAGTGTTAAAAAGTAAAAAGTAGGGTGTTGAAAAACAAAACCATTGTTGATAGTCTTAGGTTACGTATACTAGGTGGGATGTTGCAAGTGAGTTCGTTATTGCAAGGGGAAAGTTGAGTCAGAGAGGTAAGGTTACCTATGCTAGATGGGGTACCATCTTCAAGAGAATTTGAACTCAAGTTAAAGATATTGCAAACGGGGAAGGTGACCAATCACTTGTGGGGTGGATCCACTAATTTGATTATTTGTGACCAATCTCTCATGCCATTAGAAATAACTCCCACAAGGTCGAGAGAGCTCAAGTTCAAGGATACGACCCTTTTGAGGATGTTGGAAGCCACCACAAGTGATGCCTGGCCAATGACAGAAATAAGCATGGTCGTTTGACAAGGCTAGTGACCCTCTTGGATGACTAGATATGATGGATTTGAAGAAGTGATTGTCAATCGCTGACATTTTCGTGTTTTGGATGGAAGGTGGTGGCGGAAGTGGAAGCTTTAGGGCATGAGAGGAGGACTAGAGCAGTGAACAGAGAAAAAAAAACTAACAGATGAGCCACTGGAATGGATTTTTGAAGATGATTTGAATGATATATGATCAAGCTCTTACAATCTATCTATAGATCTAAGGCCTTTCATTTTTCATATAAGAGTCTGGGTTAAATCTTAATTGTTTGCAACTAAAGAATAATCAAAGGATGGGTCCCCAGTAAACCCACTTTCATGAATTAGAGCCACCAATATTCATCAATAACTGAAATGTATGTAGACTATGTCATGTCAGTTGAAGACGTCTCTCCTCCGCAACACTAGAAGACATTGACTAACTTCGACCAGGTACAGAGATCCCCCCCCCCACAAAGAAAATGGCTGTGAAAGTCTAGGAACTGTTTTTGTAACTTCAAGTTGGTCTATGTACTATCCATCAAAGATAACCAGAATTTGATCAAAGTCTTCATTTACACCCAATTTTACTATGACAGGATCTGCTACAATAATATGTGTATTGAAGTTGGCCCTTACTAGCTTTAACAATGAGAAAGAAATAATGTCGCTTCACAAGAAGTGGAAATATGAAGGTTGAGACCAGATATTACGGAGATCAATCAGATCAGCGCATTGAGTGGAGACCAAGTAGCACTAAAAAAATCAATAGGAATTGGTTTGGTCATTTCTAAACTCAAGTATGACGCCAGGAAGATTCACTTGAGAATCAATAGGAGGGCTGTGATACCCTAAGATTTAGTCCCATATCGGATACTGAGTGAGTGATTGAACGGTTTAAATGATGAGTCTTGAGAGCCAAGTGTAACATTGGCTAGCCAATTTTGGCAGTGGATACAGCCAAACCACGTGTTGCCCTCCGAGCCAAGTGTAACATTGGCTAGCCAATTTTGGCAGTGGATACAGCCAAACCACGTGTTGCCCTCCGTGGATCTCAGGACGTACATCGCGCCAACGGGCTCACGGGCTCGGAGAGTGACAAGGGAAAATTAGCAAAAGCAAAAACTTTGTTTTATCGACAATGTCCACTGATTCATGTTAACAAGAATTTGATGTCATCAATTGCAAGTAAATTAGTCAGCAACTAAGATGATGAAAAAGTTTCAAATTTGAAGACAACAGGTAAAGCCTCTAGAAAACAAACCAGAGCTTATACATTTCTTTTTCTGACCACCTTATCCAACAATATCCAGGACTATCAACATTTTTAATGGTAACAAACAGTTGTTGATTTGGTGGAACATCGAAAGATGGACCTTCACCATTCTTTATGTCATTCTCCAATGACATCTCCCATCTTAGTTTGCTCCTCTCGAGTCTCAAAGTTACTTTGGCAAAAGATGCCAAATCCAAGCATCGAACCTGCACACTCTATAACTCTTAGGCCATTCATATTCTTTGTCGGCGTCAACATTCCCTTTACGATCTCCATAAACTTGTGAATACTACAGCCTTCTAGAAGAATAATTACAGTAGGTAAAATCTCTTTGTAGTAATCAGCTCCAATAAATTAATTACAAGAATCGCCAAAGTAACTATGAAAAGCATAAACACAGATGCTTCAACCTCAATGCTTGAAAGAAAGAACTCAATATATCCAATGAAGTAAAACAAATACCAGAAATGCCAAAACAAGATCGCTGATATAAAAGGCCATTCATAGAACAAAAAGGGTTACAGGAGAAACAACCGGGAAAAGATTTAGAATAATAGATAAATGTATACTTCCAAACAATCCAAATCTACTGATTACAAAGAAACCACTATGAGGACATATATAAAAAAAGTTCATCTCTCTTATTGTCGCTATAAATCTCTATGTTCCTGATACCATTTGCCTGCTTCAATACATTCTCTATCTCCATTCCTCTATAGTAGTTTGCTCGAGCAGACAATGCTAGTCCTGAGTATGGAGATTATAAACAAGTGTAAATTAATGACATTGCAAGGAAATCAATGATATTAACAAATTTCTTAAGGCTTAAAACTTGGAAGATATCACCAGCATCTCTATGCAAAAACATTAGTACTTTATGGCTACAACAATCTCTAGGAATAAGAACTCTATGTCCATCCCATACTCTATTTCTAATGACATGTACATATGCAACTAAGGTAGCATAGCATAAAGATAAAGTGAGAAATTCTACAGTCAGAAAAATAACAACAACAACGATGGTTTACCGCCTGAATTCTTTCTTCCGTCAACATTTATTTAAGGGGCAACTTAATTAAATTACTAATGTGTGAGCAGAGGGAATTTCAACAGGAATTCTCTTTAACACCAAACAAATACACACACATGGGCGTTGGCAGGAACCATTTTCTTCCACTTAGTAATAAAAACCACTTTCACTTTGGTTACTAATATATAAGCACATGGAATTTCAACAAGAATTTATCTATAGCACGCAACAATGCTAGTGGTTTAAAACAATAATTAAAGCACTATCAACCTGCTATATTTCACCATCCCATCCCTCCAGAATATTGTGATGTTGGTAACTATTTACAATGCATAGGCTGTTAGCTTTTGTTTCATTATCTTTCTGTTGTTTGTGGGTTTCATGTGTCTGAAGTAAATTGTATCGTTCAGGTATGCCTGTACCTTGATGTTGTACGTAAATGCTCATTTGGTTAATGGAATTATATTTTTCATCGACCAAAAAAAATAATGAAGCTGAATGTATGGAATTCAATAGGATTACTCTACAATATACTAGTGCAATTTTTTCCCTTTTATGTAGCTTACACTAAAGGATCATTCCACGAATAAATATTTGCAATTAAAATTACCATAATGACTAAGCAATATATTTCAGTAGAAACTATCCATAATAAATTGGCTATCCTCACTTAAATCAACCATCATGATTGATCGAATTAATTTCAGTAGGAATTTTGTGTGTGAATTTTATTAGTGTGTGTCACATGCATAGCACATTCCCATACCAATGTTTGTCAGTGAATATTTGTAGATGGACCTTCACCACTCTGCAGTACTCTCTGTCTCTCCCCATAATTTCCATTCCTCATGAACATATCTCTAACAATATGCAGTTCCTCGAGGATTTTGTCCGTCTCCATTCTCTCTGCTGGTAATTCATTTGAGCAAGAGATACCAATTCTAAGAATTGATTTGTCCGTCTCCATTCTCTCTGCTGGTAATTCATTTGAGCAAGAGATACCAATTCTAAGAATTGAAGCCATGCAGTTGGTTGCTCTTGCATAATTCATGCTTTCAGCATCATCACTTGGTGTGAGCAAATGAGCGTCAATGACATCTGTGATTTGTTCAGGAAATGCCATATTCACAAACATAGGAAGAGTAAGACCTCCTACAAACGTATCATCAGTGGGTCTCTTTCCTGTAAACATTTCCAGTAAAAGGATCCCATAGCTATACACATCTCCACAAGTTGAAACTTCATTCCCCATTCCGTACTCTGTTATAGGTGAAATACATAGAAGCAATTAGAATGGATTACACTGAGATAATTCCAAGAGAAAGTATAGGTGAAATACATAGAAGCAATTAGAATGGATTACACTGAGATAATTCCAAGAGAAAGAATAAAGTATGACTGAGTATTACATTTTCCTTATCAAATTAATTTGGCAGTATATGGAATGCTAAGAGAATATTTTCAGTGAAGTACATAAGATGAACACATAGATGTCATAGTTTAATTATGATAATAAAATTACATCTTTAAATTCAGAACATATTCTAACAGAAATGTTTTAGTAAAACATGCATGTATGCATTTGAAGCTTGCACGTGTGAAGAAAAACAAACAATGCATTGTGTTCAACTATAAAAGGAAAATCTACCATGATGTTTAAGGTTCAGATGGTAATCTTGTTTTCTCTTTTAAAATTTTAGCCTAAGAAAATAATACAACATATATAAAAGTAACGAAATCAAGAAAATATAAGTTTTTACCTGGAGCAATATACCCGATAGTTCCTCTGAGACCAGCTGAACTTGTTGAGTACTGAGAGGTAACCTTTTCGAGAAAAATCACCAACATGAGCAGTAATATTATCATCCAGAAGAATGTTGCTTGGCTTCAGATCACAGTGAACAATTGGTTTGCCACATTGATGGTGGAGATAATCCAAAGCATAAGCTACGTCAATAGCTATATCTAACCTTGCCGTAAGGTCCAATTTCTTTGGTTTGGACTGCTCATTTGCTTTGGGATGCAACCAATAATCTAAACTTCCATTTTCCATGAACTCAAAAACTACAGCTTTGAAGTCATTACCTTTGAAATCTGCACTTGAACATACTGTAAGGATCTTGAGAAGATTCCGATGCCGGATGTTTTTCACAGCATCACATTCTGCTATAAATGTCCTCGATGCTCCTTGTATTTGAAGGTTCAATACCTTTACAGCAACAACTTTCCTACTTTCACCATCGAGTAGTCCTTTATATACTGTACCAAAACTACCAGTCCCAATCATATTGCCCTCAGAAAATCCATCTGTGGCTCTCACTAGATCACCATAAGTGACCTTCACATTTTGCTCGATTGTGGGTGATGAGTCAAGAGATTTTCTTCTTGAACCTTTTCGACGGCATCGGACTACGAGGAAACAGAAAAGAAGAATCACAAATATAAATGAAACAGTACTCCCGCAGATCACTATTACTGTACGCGAGTGATGTTTCTTGTTAAGGGGTTCAGAAGGGCAAGCTGGCAGATGCATTCCTGGGTTTCCTCCACAAAGCTTACTATTTCCAATAACTGAAACTGCACTTGCATTTGCAAACACACCAAGTAGTGGCACTTCACCTTCAAAGTTATTGAAGGACAGATTCAAATAGTCTAGGCCATGAAAATCTTGTAAGAAAAGAGGTATTTTTCCCGACAAGTAATTTTTTGAAAAATCGAGCTTCTGGATGCCTCTTAACGAGGCTAAAGAAGAAGGAATACTTCCTTGAAAGAAATTTCCACCAAGATAAAGTTCCTCCAGCACTTGACACTCACTGAGAGTGATAGGGATTTCACCGGACAATTTGTTCATGCTGAAATCTAAATAATTCACGTTTATTAAGCTCCCGATTTCAGATGGTATTGGCCCTGACAGTGAATTGGATGCCAAGCTTAAACCTCTGGAGAGCCCAGAAATGGAGACAACTTCTTTGGGTATACTACCCGTAAGTTTGTTATATCTTAAACCTCTGGAGAGCCCAGAAATGGAGACAACTTCTTTGGGTATACTACCCGTAAGTTTGTTATATCCGAGGTATAGACGTATTAGGTTTTGGCACTTTCCAAGACTTGCTGGTATATTCCCGCTCAGTTCATTGGAATCTAGATAAAGTTCATTCAATTGAGTAAGGTTGCCGATGGTAGATGGTATCTCTCCAGATAGCTTGTTAATTTCCAATTCCAGTAGATGCAAGTTCCGAAGCTTCCCGATGCTTGAAGGAATGGAGCCATAAAGCGAGTTTTCATCCATATTAAGTACCGTAAGGTTTACGAGGTTTCCGATATCAGAAGATATTTTTCCAGAGATGTAGTTATTATACATATCAAGAAGCTGAAGATTGGTGGAAAGATTGGCGATTGAATTCGGTAGCATGCCACTAAGATTATTTGCTCCTAGGGCCAACCCCTCCAACTGGGTACAATTGGTCAAAGCGGTTAGGAAATTCCATCCATCAGGTGCCATGGTTTCTAAGTGGTTACTATATAGAATTAGTTTTTGCAGAGCTCGTAAACGTCCGAGGCTAGGAGGGATTATGCCACTGAAGCTATTTCCAGAAAGATCAATGACTCCAAGATGAGATGCATTGGACAATGACATTGGGATAGGTCCGTGGAATTGGTTAAAGGCCAGGTAAAAACCTTCAAGCAGAGGAAGGGCTTGGCCTATGTTTGGTGGGAGTGACCCAGATAGGTTATAATTCAATGACATGTCTAGAGAAGAAAGAGCGGAGAGATTCCACAGTGAAGGTGGTACGCCTCCAGAGAGGTTGTTTAACGACAAAAGAAGTTCTTCTAATTCAGAAAGCCTACCGATTGAATGTGGTATGCTTCCTGATAACTGGTTATTATAAAGATCAAGGCTAGTAAGAGAAATGAGGTTCCCTATGCTCGGTGGGATGCTGCCGGTGAGTAGTTCGTTATTGAACAAGGAAAGTACGGTTAGAGCGGTGAGGTTAGCTATGCTAGATGGGATGCTGCCACTGAGGCTGTTATTGTACAGGAAGAGTTGAGTTAGAGAGGTAAGGTTTCCAATGGTATGCGGGATGCCACCATATAATTTGTTTCCAGACATGGATAGAACAGAAAGCAAGGAAAGGCTTGTTAATGAAGAAGGTATACGTCCTGTGAGGCTATTGTTTCTTAAATTTAGGACCTGTAGGCTGGAGCAGTTGCTGAGACTGACCGGAATTTCACCTTGGACCTTGTTATCCCGCAGAAGAAGTACCTCCAATCTTGAACACTGAGAGAGTGAAGCAGGAATACCTCCTCCGAGAGAATTCTTACTCAGGTCAAGATATTGCAAACGGGGAAGGCGACCAATCTCTTGTGGGATGATTCCATTAATACGATTGTCCGACAGATCAATCTCCCTGAGAAATGTGAGGTTGGTTATGGCCGTTGAAATAACACCGGCCAGATCGAGGGAGCTCAAGTTCAAGGACACAACCCTCTGAGGATGTCGGAGTCCGCCGCAAGTGATCCCTAGCCACCGGCAGAAATGAACAGAGTCGTTCCACGAGGCCAGCGATCTCCTTGGATCGCCGGATACCATGGATTTGAAGGAGAGAAGTGCTTGCCCATCGGTGAAATTGTTGTGCTTTGGATTGAAGGTGGGGGTGGATGTGGAAGCTTGTGGGCATGAGGGGAGGACTAGAGCTGTGAGCGCTGAAAAAATTAATAACAGACGAGCCATTGGAATGAATTCCCCAAGAAGACGTGAATAATTCAGGGATCAAACCCTTGCTATATTTACCTTATTAATTGTATAAAAGCTGGATGGCTCTATATTTCTTCTTCCCATTTCTATCCTGGGACAAATTTTCAAAACCAACCCATTTGATAAACTATTCCCCAAAAAAGACCCATTTCAGTTTTATTTGCAAAAACCGACCTGGTTTCAGCCTCAGCGCTGAAACCATGTCGGTTTTTGAAAAAAAAGTTTTCGAAACTTCACAGGAGTTCAACTCCCGTGAAGTTTTGTTATGAGAAAAAACTTCACGGGAGTTGAACTCCCGTGAAGTTTCGTAAAGTTTTTTAGAAAAACCAACCTGGTTTCAGCGACAGTGCTGAAACCAGGTCGGTTTCTCTAAATAAATCTGAAACGAGTCGTTTTTTGCAATTAGTTTATCAAATGGGTTGGTTTTGAAAATTTGTCCTTCTATCCTGTCTAAAAAAGCTCTACTTCAGCGATTCTAGTACCCTCTATTGTGACTGGGTACAAGGGTATGTCGGGTAAAAGGTGCGCAAAAATTGACTCCTCTGTTCATCAAAACTTCCCAATTATGCCCTCCATGTACTCTCTCTCTCTCTCTACTTCTTGGACTTCAGGGTACTTTGGGAAAGTAAAGCTTAGCCATTTTTTTAGCCCTTCCCCCTTTTCCACTGGGGCAGGAGGGGAGCAGTGTGGCTTTGGCTATTCGTTCCGCCGATGGTAAGGCTTTCCAGATCGATGATGGGACGGAGGTGAGGGGAGGGTGTGTTGGTTTGCCATTAACAAAACCACAAAGGGCCAGAAAACCCAGTTCGTGTCTCAGGTTGCTCGGTAAAGGTTAAAAAAAAAAAAACTCATATTTCTCCCTTGTTGTTGTTGTTGTTGTTGTTTTATAAGGATTTGATTCCTTCTTATTACTTTTCCTTGTAAGAAAGATTCTTGCTGAAATATTTGGGTTTGTCAACTCTGGATTCACTAGCTTCAAAGAATAAAAAAAAGGGTACTATTCTCTCTTCTTCCTATAAGAAGAATATGGAAGTTTTTGACTGTTCTATTCTAGAATTTTTCTTCTATTCATCTATTTATTTAGTTTTATGATAGCTGTACAATTCGAGGTTTTTTTTTAATTGTTATGCGAAATTTATGACCATCTTGTTGTTACAGGTGATTGCCTTCATTCTAGATGGAAAGTGGACACAATTGGTGATTCTCTTGGGGAGACTCTTATGGGGTCTCCTAATCATTTCAAAAGAAATTAGAGGTATTTTCTTTCTGATTTTATTTTTCTCAAAAAAAAGTTCAAAAAAAATTCTTTGTAGTTAAGTATCTAACTTTAAATTAACATTTTTTTTTTGGTCAATGAAAATTTTTATTCATTACCAAAGTGATGAGTTTGTGTACATCAAATTCTCACTGAAGTTAGTGAGATATCAACTGAAAGTACAAGAAACTAAACCCAAATATCCATATATACAGAGATATTGGTCACTGGAAACTGAAATTACAGAGAAGATAGCCATTCTCTGTTTTCGTCAAGTGCAGGCATATTTAGGATTGCAGTTAAAACATCCATCTTGATATCTTTCACTACTTGATCCACATTCTTGATTTCCTGCAGAAAAATTCTTCTATTCCTCTCATTCCATAACCTGTAAATAGCTGCAGACAATGCCATGCGTTTGTTGGCCTTCTTGTTTTGATGATGTTTAACAAACAATTTACCACTAATGTTGTTTGTCTAGTATTTGTGTTTTCGTATTTATTGTAGACAAACAACGTAGTTGGAGGATGGATGGAATAGAGCTTCAACGATCATATCCAATGGAGGTTAGCGGAATGTCGGTGAAGCCTTGCTATTCAAAGTTCAAGATCCAAGTTCAAGCTTCATCCGCAACGTGTACCAAGTTGAGCTACAATGAAGATCAAGATCAAGCTTGGGTATATTTAGTATAGGTTTATATTATGTGTGTTATATACTCTAAGCTCAATTATCTATACACACACATTTATTGGTTTCTTCGTATATATATATATAGTCATATATATATATATAAGTTTTGGTTTCTATGCATATATATAGTTATATATATACATACATATGTTTTGAGTTTTTATGGTTATATATATGAAATTCTATATTTCATATTTTCTATTATGTTTTTGAAAACATCCCAAAGTTTTATATTTTTTGGAATTTATTTGATATTTTTAAACAGTGTTTTAAAATCAGATAAACAAATTTTCAGAACCTGTCATATCTGTTTTCGGTCGACCGCACTGGTCGACCGAACCTGAGGTCAAAAGTTCACTGGGCGACAGAAAGCCTGTCGGTCGATCGGTCCGGTCGACCGATGAAAATTTTCGGTCGACCGACGAATTTTCCGGTCGACCGACGAGTGTTCCTTCAGCTTCCAACGGCTAGTTTTTTGACCGTTGCCTTGGGGCTGTTTTGTCTTTTGCTCTGGTTTCTTGGCTGAGTTGTGATATTCTTATTATTGCTAGTTTGTTAATTGAGTTAGATTTTATTTTACTCATTGTTACACACACCCACATTGAGCTTATAGTATTTGCATACATAGTATAGTTGGGTGGTGAGAGATTGTAACTTTGAGTTGTGCTTTAATTGAGTTCTCACCTATTGTAGAGAACAAATTTATATTTGTTGCATTGTGATTGTTGTTAGGTTTTCGGTGAGCTAGAAACCGAGTGTGTTGTGAAGTTTTCGGTGAACTAGAAAACCGAGTGTGAGGAGTGAACGTTGTTCGGTGAGCGTTGAAAACCGACATAGTGTGGTTGTAAACGTTATTCGGGTGAGCGTAGAAAACCCGGTTGTGATAGTGGATTTCTCTCCGGGAGTGGGGAGCGGAGATGTAGGACGGAAGGTCCGAACTCCGTGATCATATCGTGTGTTTGAGTTTGTCATTGGCGTTCTTTTACATTCATGCCTATTGTTTATATCGCCTTTGTTATTTGCTCTTAGTTCATATTATCCACTATCTTGTTTATCTTGTTTATGTTTATATCACCCTTAGTTTCATATCCTTGCATATAACTTATAATATATCTCATTGCTAGGATATATCCCTTATTCATATTATTTATCCTAGCTTACATATCTTGTTGTATCTCATACTTTCTAGGATAACTTATTAATTAATTTTAATTGGCATTTAATCGGATTAGATTAGCATAAGACCCTAATCACCCCCCCTCTAGGGTCTAACAGCGTTTGATTCCTTTCCTGGAGTCTTTCCCCCTCAATTTTGTACAAAACCAATCTAGAAGGAGCCCCCAACTACATGTTTTCCATTTAAAATTCAACCATTCCATGATTTTGTTCCATACTGCACTGGAGAAAAATACACTCAAAAAACAGGTGATTCCTACTTTCCTGTCCTGCACCTGAGCACAAGCAACACACATTAGCATTGATGATTCCTCTTCTAATCAGTCTGTCCTGGGTTAGTAGTCTGTTTTGGACTGTAAGCCAGCATATAAAGGCATGTTTAGGGTAGCACATTTTATCCCACACTATATTATGCCATTGCACCCTCTGAGAATTATTAGACAGAGCATAGTATAATCTTGATATCTGTGATTTTGCATCATTGAAACTGGTACTGAGGAGATTTACCAGGTTATTCACTCCCCTACAATGAAGAATTGCTTTATCTCTTTGCTTGATCATTTGCTTCCATATCCAAGAGTCACTGTTTTTGACAGTCACATGCCATACATCCCTGAGTTTTAAGTAATTCCCATGGATCCATTTGATCCATAATAATTCCTTATGCACATGTAGATACCACAGATTCTTCAAGGTGGCTGCCAAATTCCAAACTGTAGCCGAAAAAACTCCCAGACCTCCTTGCTTTTTACCCAGGCAAACATTATGCCAAGCCACTAAGGGGATTTTATGAGACAAATTTGTTCTTCCCCATAGGAAATTTTTACACAATTCATCAATTTTTTAGGTTACTTTAGCAGGCAGAGTGTAATTTGTTGTCCAAAAGACTTGAATACCCAAAATAATACTCTTGATGATTTGAAGTCTACCCGCATATGTGAGATTCTTATGCTTCAGCCAAGACTGCAACTGGTTAGAAATTTTGTTTAATAGATCACTGCAATCCATGTAAGATAATCTTCTAGGGATGAGGGGAACACCTTGATATCTGATTGGGAACTGGCCCTCTTTAATCCCCAGCATGTTAATGATGTAATTCTTCAAATTTCCATCTACTCCTCCAAAGAAAATAGAGCATTTATCCTTATTTGCTTCCAATCCAGTGACTTCACCAAACTTCTTTACACACATGAATAATTTTTGGACAGTGTAAACATCTCCTCTTCCAAAAAGAAGCAAATCATCAGCAAATATGAGATGTGTGATATTGAGCTTCCCACACTTTGGATGGAATTTAAACATTTTGTCAAATTTCAACATGTCCAGGCTTCTTGAAAGATATTCCATGCCTAAAATGAATAGATAGGGAGATAAAGGATCACCCTGTCTTAACCCTCTCTCAGCTTTGAAGTATCCATGGAGGGAACCATTAAAGGAGATAGAAAACTTTGGACTGGAGATACAAGTCATGATCCTATCCACCATAATATCAGGAAAACCCAATCCTTTAAGCATTTCCTAAAGAAAGTTCCAACTTATAGTATCAAAGCCTTCTTTATATCTATGTTTAAAATTATTCTTGGTGAAATGTGCTTCCTGGAATAGCCTTTAACCAATTCATGAGCCAAAAGAATATTACTTGTGATATGTCTCCCTTTTACAAAAGCTGTCTGAGATTCATTTACCAAGTGTCCCATAACCAGTTTTAATCTATTAGCCAAGATTTTAGAAATGAATTTATATATGCAATTGCAGCAAGAGATAGGTCTGAAATCAGAAGGTGTTTTGGGGCATTGCACTTTAGGAATAAGAGTAAGAGAGGTAGAGTTTACCACTCCTAAGAGTTTACCAGTCTTGAAAAACTCCTCAATTGCCAGAGAAACCTCATCTCCCACAATACTCCAGGCTGCTTTGAAGAAGTTAACACTATAACCATCAGGGCCAAGAGCTTTATTTTCGGACATTGAAAAGATGGCATCTCTAATTTCATCCTTTGAGACAGGTTTAGCTAGCAGACCAGTTTGAGCAGCTGTAAGACAAGGCCCAGCTTTAATGATTTTTATATCAGGTTTTGCATGGCAACAGCTTTACCCATGAGGTTTTTATAAAAGGAGATAAATTCTTTTGCAATATCATCCCCACTAGTAATTCTCTGACCCATATCATTGTAAAGAACCATCACTCTATTATGGTGTCTATTTATTTTGATGACTGAATGGAAGAAGTTTGAACATCTGTCACCCTTCAAACTCCAAGAAATCCTGGCTTTTTGCTGGTAGAAAGACAATTCATAGTCTAAAAGTCTATTGTATAGAGCTATAGTTTCTTTTTCCTTGCTGATTAAAGACTGACATAGAGGATTGAGCTGAAGATTTTGTTGGATTTCCTCCAAAGCATGCTTTGCTCTTAATACTTGTTCACTGATATTGCTGAAATGTCTTTTGTTCAGGTCTTTTAGAGAGCTTCTTAAATGTTTCAATTTTGTGCAAACTGAAAACATTTTAAAGCCTACAATGTTAGACTGCCAGACACTTGAGACTGTGGGTAGAAAACTCTCATGCTTAGCCCACATGTTGAAGAATTTAAAAGGCCTCCTTCCTTGCACATTATCATCATAAATGGAAATCAGAGCTGGAGAGTGGTCAGAGGATTTAGGAGTAAGAAATTCCACCTGACTAGAATTGTAAACATGTACCCATGAGTCATTAGCCAGAGCTCTGTCTAATCTACACCAAATTCTTGAACTGGAATCCTGCTTGTTGTTCCAGGTGTAAAAACAGCCAACAGTTTTTAGATGATTCAGATTGCAATTCCAGACAAAATCCTCCAGGTGTAAAAACAGCCAACAGTTTTTAGATGATTCAGATTGCAATTCCAGACAAAATCCTTGAAATCTAATAATTCACCATCAGAGATAACAGAACCTCCAAGTTTCTCATCATTACTAAGTATTGAGTTGAAATCTCCACATAATAGCCAAGGAGTACTACCAGAAGAAGATTGATGAATAAGCTTCAAATCTGTCCACAGATCCTTCCTTGCTTCCATTTGATTAAAACCATAAACTGAAGAAATAATACCTTCAAATCTTCCATCCAAAGACTTAACAAAACAAGTGATGTGTTGCAGAGAAGAGCTGAGAATATTTACATCAAAAATGCTTGGATCCCACAGGATAATAATTCTGGCCTTTCTAGTTTGACTGGCATTTGAAGTCCAGTTCCAGTTACTTTTAATTTTCCTGATTGTATTAGGCAAATTAGATTCCTTTATTTTTGTTTCCAAGAGAGCTATGAATGAGAGGTGATATTGAGATATGAAATGCTTCACCAAATGCTTTTTAGAGGATTTGTTTAATCCTCTTACATTCCAAAATGCCAGGTTCATATATGAATAAAACCTCCTCTATCAATTGTAGAGGGATCCAATATCAATGAATCTAGATGAGAGAAGGAATTGCTAGTAGCTGTAACAGGTTGTTCTTGACCCCTTCTTAGGATTTGATAACTAGGGATATCATTTATTGGTGACCTTTCTCCTGCCACTGAGTTTTGAACATGCACAACATGCACGGATCCAGATACAGATTTTTCCCAGTATTTCCAATAACTGGTGTAGACTTGTGTTCACCAATTTTCTCCCTAGGGGTTTTTGATTGCTTCCCATTTGTCACAAACATATTTCCAAGTTCAGCACCTGATTGAGAAGTTTGTAGAACATGCACATCATTATGTATAGACTCCAAAACAGTATTACATCCTTCAACAATAGAGTCAGGAATTAGCCCACTGCTACTTGTGTCAACCTTTCCAGCATCAACTTTTTGTTTAGGAACCCACTTCTGGATCCTTTGATGTTTTTTGCAAAAATCTGTATCATGTCCCACCAATTTACACCAATTACACCATCTTGGCTTATATTCATAATGCACCACCTGATTGTATGATATCCCATTTGGGCCTTGTATTGTGATTTTTTCAGGTAGAGGTGAGGGCATTTTAACTTCCACCAAGATTCTAGCATATGCCAATCGTTGTTTATTTGCAGTTAGCTTATCCGTGGCAATAAGTTTCCCAATAACACTAGCAATTTTGCTTAAGCTTTTTGAGTTCCACAGGTTAAGTCTCAAAGCTGGTAACTGTATCCACAAAGGATATATACATTCTTCAGTTTTGTTCATATCTTCATCACTGTTCCAAGGCTTTAAAAGAATAGGTCTTGAGCCAAAAAACCAGGGACCTTTACTCAAAATATCATCAACTTCTTCTTTATTCTTAAATTTGAATAAGAATAACCCTGTTTTTAGTAAGCACACCTTAGGGATATGAGACCAGACTTTATGAACATAATTTTCAATAGCCTTAAATCTGACATTTAAACCCAAAACTTGACCAATTAGCGAAAATTTCCACATATCAGCTCCAGAATTCCATTCATCATCATTAAAAGAAACTGTATCATTTGGTTCAGAAGGAATAAAATCCAAGGACATACCACTCCCTGGTTTTCTGTTATCAGCAAATAAGCTAACCCAACTCTTGGCTAAATTAATCTCATGATTTTGATTTGTAGAAATTTTGGTAGCATCAATTTTCTCAACAGGTGATTTCTCAACATAGGATTTCTCAGGCACACCAATATCAGATATAAGAAGAGGATCTGAGATCAAGTCTCCAGCAGGTAAATTCAATGAATCAGAATTCATAAATGGACCAGATGCATGATTCGAGGGCAAATTACTCGCTATAACATTTGGGAAATGGTTCACAGATAAAGAATTTGCTAGATTATCCACCAACTCAACTTCATCAGCCCAAGATCTACCATTAGAACAACCAGAAAGATTACCAGTAACCTTACCAGAGGAAGAAGAATTGAAGATCCTAGGATGAACACCGATCATACCAGGAGTAACTTGAAGATGACGGGAATCATTCAGTGGAGTCGAAGAACTCAGGATCTCCATCATCAATCTCTTTTTCTTTTCCCCCTTTGGACCCGTTGACCCCATCTCAATCCATGAATCTTCACTATCCTCAACAAAAGAGGTATCAGATTGATCCTCAGGAGCTGACGAGTAAGGATTTGAAGATCTCAAACTAATTTCCAAGATTTTTCCTCCATTTTTTTTCTTTTTCCTGACCATTTGAATCTAAGCGGGGGCGCAAATTAGCAACGAAAAAATCGCTCTCTAACCTGCGCCATAACCGCTCAACTTTTACTTTAAATTAACATTAATGATATGTGTCTTGTCTTATTATTGTTTAAGTTCTTTAAGATTGATGAAATTTTAATGAGTAGTGTTACATTTTCTGTTGAGGGTGAGGTTTCATACTAGAGTATAGTATTTACTGAGCTTAAGCTTATATCTTACGCTTGTTTAACTTCATATGAAATGTATTTTGAGATAAATGACCAAAATACTTGACTTGATAAGATATAATTACCTAGGACTGTACTTTTTGACTATTTAAGATCTCACGTATATCCTTTCTATTAAATTACTTAGGTTTACAATCATGTGCTTTTTAAGCATAATAATGAGAGGACTAGGGAGCAGATGGCGATACATTTACGTGCAAAATAGTTATACTTTGGTATAGGCCGATTCTTATGGAGAAAACTATTTAGGAAATTTCTTAAAGAAAATTATTCAGTAAGTAATTGTGTAAAAGATTATTTAGTTTCTCAAAAATGTTGATAATCAGTTCTTTGATTTTACTTAATGTGTAGCTCTCTTGATTCCCTACCAATTGATTTCTTTGAAAAGAATGTGTTTCATCGAAACATACTTGATTGATTAACACTTCTTAAGTTCTTTATATATACAGGAAAATCCATAGGCCACTTAATAACAAGAATTAATTAGTGAGCCCAATGTTTTCTGAAGATTTGCTCTTATAGATGGACCAATTGGCTTATTTAGATATATAGAGGAAATAAGGAAAAGTTGTAACTATAGTTTTATCTTCTTCTTTTTAAATAATCTGGAGGGGCATTAGACACTATAGATGACAAAAGAATTCAAACCGTAAGCTCCTTTTGAGGTTTCTTCATTATGACAATTGAGATAAGTTCATCTATGTGTGCACAAGAGCCTGTGCATGTGCATATATATTCTAATAAATATTTGTATAAACTTGAGGAGGGGAGTTTAACTTTAATTCTTTTGATGAGATTGCGAAGAGTTAAATTGATAATATGTTTTTCATAAGCCACAATATTATTTGTTATTCTTTGTATGTTTGTTAGTTTCTGAAACGTTCAGAAAAACGTTCTAACTTTAATAGACGATTACAACTTGATAATTAATTATAATGAGTTTGAGCTACTTTAAAAATGAAAAAAAAAATTTGTTGTAAGGCTATAATGAGTGGTTAGAGAATGTTGGATGCTTAAGTTACTAAGTTGTGTTTTTATATACTGATGCAAGACTTTAGTGTACTCAGCATTAAAGGTATATGTGATCTTCAGCATTTTGAAGTGGTCTCATAACCTTTTCTTCCCCCTTCATATGTTAACTTTTGCTAATTATACTTTATTTAGAAGTTATTCAATACTTACCTGGCAAAATCTTTGGGTTTTCTATAAGATGAGCTAATGTATTAGCTACCATCCTTGAAAATGCTCTAGCGCTGTAATATGCCGATAGATGCTGATGAAAAGCATCTGAACATGCATTTTCCATCTGGTTACACATTGCATGACTAATTACTTAGATATCCAGCATGCTGGAAGCCCACCTACCTAATATATTTGATATATTCCCCCTGCTATGGACTTGTCTATTTCTGCAGTCTGTACTTTTTTTACTCACATTCTTAGGAAAATAAGCTGCATCATTCTTTCTTAATTTGGGACTTATAAGAAATTGTAAACTTTTTAGTCCATGATATGAATCGCATTGTATAATATGGAGCCCTGTAGAATCTTTGAAATGGAATTCTTTTTTCTTGGTACTGTTACTTGTTTATGTTTGTGCAAATTAACATTGACGAGCATTGAATGGATCTTGACTTTTGATCATTGGCCATTTGAGCATAACTTATAGAGATAGAGATAAAATGGCAATAAAAATAAAAAAAGTTATCCAAGGAAAATTGAGAGTTTTTTGGAGACCGTTATCATCACTATATTGCAATATGAGTGCGGTGCTCGGTATTTGTCTTGACTTGAGTGCCAAATATTTCTCACTGTTTTCTTGCAAGAAAATCTCCATGCTAAAAAAATTATTACTTTGGTCTGAGAAATTTACTCTTGATGAGTTTGTTCAAAATAAGTTGACTGGGAAACGACAAATTGAACTAAACCTTCATTAGCTTTTGATAAAAAGTTTTAAGGTTGTTGTAGGAGTTGCAGAAGCTCCAAGTTACTTGCATAATTAATAGTTGTACAAGACATGTTATTCACTAGATAAGTCTTCAGATATTCTTCTCAATGATTGTTTGAAACAACAATTACATTCTGTTGACGAATGATCATCGATAACTCCAATATTTCTTTTCTGAATAATAGATTAATGCGGATCTTTTTCCTATGTATATATCAAGTTAGCTGGCTTTGGACTACCTATGTGAGCATCAATGAATTTATTTTCCCAGGCACAGTGATATTGTTGGGAGTTTTAGGTATGTGAACATGGTTTGCTAGAATTTTTCTTGGAATTGTTTAGCCTAAATTCTAGAGAATCTCATTCTTATGGGCATTTTGCACTTGATTACTTTATTTATGGGAAATTAAGCAATAAGATAGATGTATATTTCGTGGAGTTGCTTGACTTATTAACATGCAGGAAACGACTCTACCACAAGAACCCTTAAGCCCAAGAAAGTTGGGTTATGTGGGTAATTAAATCTATTATATTAGGGTAAAAATAATCATAAAAGAATGACCTATATGCCCAAACGAAATAATGATAGAAGGAAAATAATTGACATGTGATTCTTAATGTTTCCATAAGTTTATTAAATTTCCAGCAACATTTAGCGTACTCATCATACTCTATATGCGTGCCTGTATGTTTGCTTGCACCACACCAGTATTAGAGAGCAGATTTAAAAGTTCTTGAGTATCAATCTGGATGATAACTACAATGAAATTGATTTCTATGAATAGTCTTGCTTCGGTCCGTCTTCATCACAAGAGTAGAAGACTTAGACCTCAATTGAGGCAGGGTCAGAGATATAAATCAATGAGCAACAAAATTCATGTTTCTCTTAACATTTTTGCCTAATATATTTGTTTTTTCCTTATGTAACAGGTAGCTAGCCTAAGGGGAAAAAAGGATTGAGTAATTCCAAAGCTGATAACTCCGGCTTCGTTTGGGTACCATGCTGTTTTCTTTGTTGTGTTTTTGTAAAAAAACACCATGGTGTTGTGTTTTTCCCTTAAAACGTTTTCAAAATACCATGTTAAGTATTTTTGGTCAACACTAGTTGTTAGACCCTAGAGGGGGGTGATTAGGGTCTTATGCTAATCTAATCCGATTAAATGCCAATTAAAACTAATTAATAAGTTATCCTAGCAAGTATAAAATACAACAAGATACGTGAGCTAGGATAAGCAATATGAACAAATGAATATATCCTATCAATGAGATATTACAAAAATATGAGCAAGGATATATGAACTAACACAAGGGTAAAATAAACAATCTACACAAGTGATAGGGTAATATGATGAGCAATACACAAAGGCGATATAAGATATGAAAACAAGAATAAGAACGCCAATGCAATCACAAACAAAACGATATGTTTACGAGGTTCGGTCCCCACGACCTACGTCCCCGCTCCTCACCTCGAGGAGATCTCCACTATCACAACCGGGTTTTCTACGTTCACCCGAACAACGTTTACACCTCACAATACAATCACTATGTAATCACACCTCACACACTAAGTGTTGGTCCTAGCCCGTGTCCTCCTCCTCAAGTGCTCGGTTACAACCTCTCCCTAGGCACGTCAACCGACGCCACTCCTCTTGGATTCGACCCCGTCTCTCACCACACACTTCTCTCGGTGTACAAGTGTATTACAAGTGAATCCTCACAATAAGCACAATATAAATCAAATGATTTGTTCTCTAAACAAGGTGAGAACTCAATTAAGCACAACTCTAAGTCACTAATCTCACAACCCAAAATTATACTATGAATGTAAATACAATAAGCTCAAAAGGTTGTGTGTGAACAAAGAGATATAAATCAAAACTAAACTCAATGTAGTTCTAGCTTAATAACAATGATAATCAAATATATAAAAAAGCTAGAAATAGAGTTTAGAAAACTTCTCAATATATCAAGAGTTGGAGGGAGAATAGTTGAATGCCCAAACACCAATAGATGATCTCCTCAAGCTCTTGTAGAATTGAATCACAAAAACAAACTCTCAATTTGCTTAAAAGCTTTTTAAACACACTTAAACCAAACTAAAACCCTTGTTAAAAACTTTATTAAACTTGATTAAAAACCCTCTTGGTTAGTTTAAGAGTTGAAGGCAATGGGGTACTTATACCCTCTCTCAACTCAGCCAAAAACCTGAGCAAAAGACAAAACACAACCCCAAGGCAACGGTCAAAAAACTAGCCGTTGGAAGCTGAGAGAATACTCGTCGGTCGACCGGAAAATTCGTCGGTCGACCGAAAATTTTCATCGGTCGACCGGACCGGTCGACCGACAGATAATACACATGCTACAAAAACTGGTTTTCTAAAAAGACTTCCCAAATGAGAAATATCATCAATTTGCAAAATAGTCCAAAACATGAAAACCTGAAAATTGATATTTTGATATTTTGACTTAAACAACATTTTGAAACCTTATGAAATGATTGTATAGACTTGATAAACGATATAACATATTGTTATGAAGTCTATAACCTAGAAATACGATATTTTCATAAAATTGCATATTCTATGCAAATATATTCAAAACACTAAATATGATTTCATTAAATATAAGCTTGTTAAAGATGAAATCATATATAGGCATATAAACATGAAACAAAATAGTATTTTCCAATTCTATGCATTTGTTTCATATATAAACTCGAAAACTATAAAACAAAAGACGTATATGTATATATATAAAACTGTATATATATATAGAAACCAAAACTTTTGTATATGTATATAACTATATATATATACAAAGAAATCAATAAATGTGTGTGTATAGATATTGAGCTTAGAGTATATAACACCCATAATATAAAATCTAAAACTAAATTACCCAAGCAATGATCTTGATCTTCAACGAAGCTCTATCTTGGTAATCTTGCGGATGA